TCTCTTTATTTATTCCTTCTCTTTCTAGCTTGTACTTATTTGAACAATGTCTAAGAACTTGGTATTACAACCACTTATTGTGTCTGTTTGCCTCTTTAAGAAGAATCGCTTTATGTATCCCCCAATTGTAAGTCGCTTTGGATAAAAGTGTCTGCTAAATGACTAAATGTAAAATGTAAAATTTACTGCAGCAAATCACTGTGTCGCAATCAAAATAAGTGTTTAAAGAGAGATTCAGAGCCTAAAGCACATTAATGATTTACAGCCCATGCCTCTGTAAAGGCTGTGAAACAGTGCAAATGGAAGTGTAGTAGAACAGAGAGCCAGTGAACCTGCACAATGTTTACACATAAATAATTGATGTCAAATTACAGGGAAATTATGACAGCAGCATACTGCTTTCTCAAGTTGCAGCTGCTGGAAAGGTTTGTTTTCTTTTCTGGCAGTTTTTGCACACATTTTAGTTGGTAGGCTTATAAATAAATCAAAAGTAAAATTAATGCAAAATATGAACATGCAAGTACTAGAGAAAACTGCCACATAATTCTTGTATGATTGTGTTTTATCATTTGTGTTTTGGCAGTCCATTCACTGAAGGCTCATACGTGCTTTTAGAGAACATTACAAAAATTCACAGGGTAATATCACCCCTAGTGAACAGCACAATCCAGGGTCCAGTTTATGGCGGGGCTCCTCTCTGATAGTAACAAAGGTTTGCTACATTTTGATTGGATCTTGGTGGACTAAGATAAGCAAACTGTCCAATGCCATCAGATAAAGACTCAAGGACAACCGCCAGATAGAGGGCAAGAAGAAGACCTCTGGTACCAAACCCAGGAAGGACAGGACTTCTCGTTTAGGTCAAAATGCAGTTTCTGCCCTTCACCCACCTAGAGACTGATTCCGAAGGTTTTGGCCTGTGACCGCCAAAAAAATTCCTGAGAACCTCCAGATGCAGCAGCAGTGAGAGACAAAAAAAATTGAGATCACACAGATCCTAAAAAATCATAACTACGTTTTCATTTGCAGCAAGGTTAAGCTCTGGTGAGCAAACATTTACTTCAAAGTACGCTCTATACCTACTCCAGGGCCACATCTGCATCACATATCCACCCTTTGGAGCTCCAGGAGATCAGCATCCTACAGCGCTTCATATTCAAAGCTGTTGAAATGGATTTCTGATCCTTTCCCCACTGCATTGTTACCAGCAAAACCAGTGGAAGAAGTCACCACCAGAGTGAGAGTCTCTTCCAAAGACCTTGGCTGTCATATACAGGTGCATCTCAATAAATTAGAATGTCGTGGAAAGTTCATTTATTTCAGTAATTCAACTCAAATTGTGAAACTCGTGTATTAAATAAATTCAATGCACACAGACTGAAGTAGTTTAAGTCTTTGGTTCTTTTAATTGTGATGATTTTGGCTCACATTTAACAAAAACCCACCAATTCACTATCTCAACAAATTAGAATACTTCATAAGACCAATAAAAAAAACATTTTTAGTGAATTGTTGGCCTTCTGGAAAGTATGTTCATTTACTGTACATGTACTCAATACTTGGTAGGGGCTCCTTTTGCTTTAATTACTGCCTCAATTCGGCGTGGCATGGAGGTGATCAGTGTGTGGCACTGCTGAGGTGGTATGGAAGCCCAGGTTTCTTTGACAGCGGCCTTCAGCTCATCTGCATCTGATTGGCATGTCACCATATTATAATTTGTTGAGATAGTGAATTGGTGGGTTTTTGTTAAATGTGAGCCAAAATCATCACAATTAAAAGAACCAAAGACTTAAACTACTTCAGTCTGTGTGCATTGAATTTATTTAATACACGAATTTCACAATTTGAGTTGAATTACTGAAATAAATGAACTTTTCCACGACATTCTAATTTATTGAGATGCACCTGTATTATCAGTATATGATTTTCTAATTTACATTAGATGTTATATAGCTGATCAGTTAAGAACAAATACTCTTTCTTTTTTTTTTTGAGGCATAATAAGGTTCTTCAGCTTATTAGTTTCAGTTTATCTTTTCATAAGATAACGTAACTCTACCAGAGCAACACCCAACTGAATCACTCGTATTTTATGCATATTATGCACTTTATTCCTTTTTCATTCATGGTATTCATTTAGTAGTTGTTGATTACCTTTGTCTATATTTTGTTAATAAAATGTATTGTATCACACTTGTGTCCTCCTTGAGTTGATAATACAGTAAGAGGTTCTACAAGTTAGATATCCCACCAATCTTTCATATCTGATGTACTCATACCTGCACCTAAAGTGACACATGATCCAAAAATCATAACGCCATTGGTGACGTGAATACTCAACACTACATTATTTCGCCTCCTTAGGTGGCGAAAGCATAATCACTACACCCCTTGAACTACTTCCTAATTCAGTTTTGCAGTGCTCCTACTCTTATTTTGATGAGCTTGATGTGAGCTGGAATCATACAGAAATGTCGGAGATTGTTTTTAATATCACCTCTCATCCATTTTTAATCAGGAAGTGTGACAGATCACCAGAAAAGGGTGAGATTTTAGCAAAAAACTGTTGGTGTGAACACACAATAAGTGTGACACCCAGGACATCATATTTGATACAGTACACGTTTGATTCTAAGGCCTCTAAATTATCGACATGATCAAAACTTACTAATCTGATTGATAGTTCATAGCTTTTTTAGCAAGTAAAAGGCCTTTTAGTTTTATTCTAAAACATATTCGTTAGGACATGCAACCTGCATATTTTTGATATGAAATCTTTCCTGATTTTTACATGGTAAGCATCAGAATCATTTTTATATTAGTATTTTAAGGTGAACAACACTTACTGGACTGAAGCAACTTGGAGGTTGACTTGATTGCCCGTAAATCTTTTGTTTTCATTTTGTTTTGTTTTTTAGAAAAATCATTTTATAATGTTTCAAACATATATACATATATCACATATATATAATATTTGAAACAGCTTTTGCAGATCATTTATTTATACATCTCTCAATCATCATTGTACTGCATTGCATTAAGTTTTGCCTCTTGCAATAAAAACTACGCTGATTATAAGACTAAGCATTTAAATATCACCTTATTAAGGCATATTTTTGAGAGATATAGAGTGAAAAACCTGATGTAGTTTCAGTAAACTGTTCCATTATTTATTTACACTGCAAAAACAAATGCTTTTCTTACTTAGATTTTCTTTTCTTATTTACTTTTTTCCTTTTTCTGAAAACAAGACAATAATTTTTACTTGTATCGAAAATCCTTCTTGATTTAAGAATTTTTAGATTTTCTTGTCTGGAAACAAGACAAAAAAAATCTAAGTAAGAAAAGCATTTTTTTGCTGTGTATTTATATATTTGTTTGTTTGTTTGTTTGTTTATTCAAACTAGTATTTCATATATTGGGCTTTACAAGTTTAAATGCTTATATTACCACACCCAAGTACTGGTATACTATAAATATTGTGTCTGAATATCAATAAAAAATGTGGTTTGGGTGTTTTGAATACTGAATATGAATATGCTTTTTAACAAGGATTTTATTTGTCCTATTATCATATTGTGATTTTATGTTTTTGTGTTTCAGTCTGTGCAGTAAAGCTTTTGTGTTAATGTAAACCCGCAGCTTGAGAGATTTGTCATTTTACAGGGAGGCAAAACATTTTCACCCGAGAAAAAATAAAGCTGTTCAGAGTTGGCTTTAATAATTTGACCCCAGGGGGAACTGACTTGCTGAAAAAGAGTAGTTCAAGTCCTCACTCTCCCACTGTGATTTGTCTGTTTACTTTTCACTATTCAGCACACACTGTTCCATTTCAGAAGCACAAGCGTCATGAAGCTGTCTGTGACTTCTGCAAGAAATGTTCAAGTATAAAGTAAGGTGGTATTAAAAAATCTAGAAGATGCTGCAGCAAAACTGAGAAGCTGTTTTCTCTCTGTCACATGGGCATCATCATTAGGTGATTATGGTGACCATCTGTATTGGTGTCAGCAGTCATGGCACCAGCTTCAGGGGAACTGCAGGACACAGCAGTTAGAGAAACATTTGTGCTAGTATGGCATATTCTCATCAAAAACACCGGACTGAAACAAATCACATTCCCACGATAACGTCTCAAAGCTCCCTATCAAAGGTCCTCCATTCCGCCAGCAAGTGACATGCACGTCTAACAAAAGGGATCTTTTTATCCAGACCATTCCGCCAGCTTCTCTTTTTAGCTCTGCCCGTTTCAGCACTTTGTTTGAACAAGATACATTCATAACACATCTTCCATCTCATGAGAGATGACAGCTGCACATC